TATATCCAGCAATAATTTTTTACCATCACCACCTGGATTGTAAAAGCAAAGCATGTGGAACAGAACAAGGGAATCCCTTCCTTTGCATTTGCAATATCATAAAAAACTTGTCTATAAAAGTATGAAATAAAATCTTGAAGGACTAAGCACTGGTAAAGTGTTCAGCAGCATTTCCTGCTACAGAAACCATTATGTGAATGATTCATTGATCAATGTATGGAGTGTCTGAACTCTGACCCATTACAGACCCTCAAGCGTTTTCATATATGAGGTTTTGATGCATACAGTTCTTCTCAAAGTCAACCTACCTTTTAGAGTGCTGATGACAAAGCAAGATTCATCCTGGAAGTTCTGAACCATCTGAAAAGAACAGAATACTGATTATTAAAGTAGACTGAAAGTAACACATCACCAAGGGTCCAAATGAGACCCCCAAGTTCACATTGACACTACAATTTTTTTTTTCTTTTAAAAAGGAGAACTATGAGGGGGGTGCTTTTCACTCACCTCATAGTTCTAGCCGACCTGTGACAATGAGACTGTCACAGGTCGGCTCAGTAGATCGGGAAGTGAGCGAACACAAACCGGCGTTCGCTCACCTCTCGATCCTGTCATGGCTCTCTGCTGGATTCCCCCCTCCCCACTCCGATCCTCCAGCGCTGACTGGCGGAACGGACGGACAATTGTCGGGATCCTCTTCAGCTGCGGCGTCTCAGTATACCGCGAGCTGTAGCTCTCTATATACTGAGCTTAGGGTGACGGGAGGACGCTAGTTTGTGTCCTCCCGTTACCCGGAGAACTATAGGAAAAAGCCTTGACCCCATAGTTCTCCTTTAAAGTGCCATACAACTGCTTTTGCCATTTGCAGTACTGACAGTATTTGTCCCTTGAGAGGCGAGAAGACTTCCCCTTAGCGCCGACATCGCCACCTTGGACACTGCTTCCACTTAAGCGAGTGATGGAGGGAACAGCTGTAAATGCCTGACTGCTATGTGTGGACTGAGTGTTGACAGAGCTCAGTGCATACCAGTGATGTACGGTACCTCTTGTTTGGGGTGAGGCATTTCCACCCGCCCCCCCGATGAAGCTCCGCCCCCAAGCTAGCGTAAAGGAGGAAGGGAGGAGACTAGGAGCTTCCCTGTCCCTCACTTGCACCTCACCGCTGAGGGTCCATGACAGGTTACACAGCAGGGAGGATTTCCCTGCTGTGTAACCTGTTAGATGCCGATCTGAATGGAGACATGAAGCCGACAGCTTTTTCCTCCATAATTCAAGGTGAGGCTCTTCCTCACCTGACCGCACGTCCCTGTTGCACACATATTGGAGCACGCCGCTTCTGGGTGCAGTCAACGCTGCATTCAGTCACTTGAACAGTGGCTAAATAGCATTGTCGGCCCGGCATCGGAACTAGTATTATTCCT